TTTTGGGGGTTTGATTTGGCAAAGGCAGATAGGAACAGGCTTCAGCTGGTGCTGGCTCCTTGCTGCTTGTGCTCAGCTGCTTTCTCCTGAGCGACTGCCTGAGATGTGACTGCAGCAATGCTGGCCCACTGCATGTGCTACTTCCCAGAAAACAAGAAACGGGGATTAATCAATGCACTTCTATATGGCACATGGAAAGTAAGCCTGACGTGACTAGATGCATGTGATGTGGTCAGGATAGGTAATGATCAGGGTTCAGCTGTTTCTGCTGGAGAATTCCTTTGGTCTTCAGTTTTCTGTCTGTGAGCCTGAGGCTAAGAGGCACGTACAGCAACAATCCATAGGCTGGTGCAGAATTTTCATAAAGGCCCTATTCAGCCTGCAGAAATCAGTGTGGGTTCTCTGGCTTGAGCATCTGAGTGTTGTTAAAATAAAACTGTGTGGCTCTGCTTTTAGATTCTTTTTCCAAACCCTGCCTTAGTATCTTATAGTAATAAACTCTTACTGTTCTATAATCACATTGTGTAACTGGCACTTTTATACAAAAGCAACCATAGCAGTAACATATTTTCTAATGGAAAAGTAAAACTTTTGAAATGAAAAGCTGAAATGTGTGCTTATTTTTTATTGTTTGCATGACTGTATTCCTGCTTTGAGGTTTTTCTGCATTTAGTGTGCTAAACTATACTTAGGTTTTAAATACACAAAAGATTTATGTCTTTAATTTTAGATCTATTGTTGCACAGGATTTCTGGCCATTACAGACCAGTTGCATCAAATCAATGCTGACTTGCTGGGTTGGTGGCTTTGTGAACGTCAGTTACCTTCAGGAGGTCTAAATGGACGGCCAGAGAAGGTAAGTGATGGCTTCTTCTGTTTGTTCAAACTTCAATAGACATTACTTTCTCTCTAAAACTGAAGGACTTCTGGGAAATGTCATTACTTCCATGAAACATTTGGTAAACTTATGAAAGAAGTCAGGCTTTAATTTTGATTTTTGTCACTAACATTTGTTGTGCAGGCCTTAGCTGGCTTAGTTTGAGTCCTCAGTGTAGGAAGGTGCTCATGCGGAAGGATGTCTTGCTGACCACTTGGACCATATTCTCTTGCATCAAGGCTTGAATATTTTCTGACACTGGGAAGGATCACTTCTGTAGGATTTGTACAAAAGTTTCTGTTTTATTGGATGTATATCCTGAGTGTAGTAGTGTTCCACATCACACTAGGAAATTGTGTAAACTAGAATAATCTCCAGTACCAGTGGTGCAAACAGATAACCAACCAACAGATTTTAATTCCAAAAAATGAAAGTTGTTCATAAGAAATTGTTTACTCCTGAAAAAGACACTGGTTTTTTAGCCTCTCCCACAGACGGTTAAGGCTGTTTCAAAATCACATTCTTGTGGTTTTGTTTCTTGAAGAAGGAAAGAGGTTTGAAAAAAAGACTTTCCCTTCACAAAAAAAGGGAAGCCCTCGGGAAACAGACTGCACCCAGGAACTCTCTTTTCTCTTTACCCCAAAGAAACTCCTTAAATGTTGCTTCTCTGCAACAGTATTATGGCAGCACACCTGGTAGTTTGCAGAATTGCCCATAGCATTTGCAGTGTTATGTTTAAAACAAGATCAAGTAATAATCTGCTTCTCTGCTTGCCAGCTACCTGATGTATGTTACTCGTGGTGGGTGCTAGCATCTCTGAAGATGCTTGGTAGGTTACATTGGATTGACAGAGAGAAACTGCGCTGTTTTATTTTGGCTTGCCAGGATGAGGAAACTGGAGGATTTGCTGACAGACCAGGAGATATGGTAAACAATCCTTTACTAAATAAAACACCCTTAGTTTCAAATTTCAACTGAAAAGCCCAGTTATCTCATTAGAGTGTAATTTGGCTCGGGATGCAGGTGAAACTGCTTTGCAGAACCTGCAGTTTGCTTTGAAGGAGAGAGCACAGAGGAGCTGCTTGCAAAGGCTCAGTTGGGGAGCACAGGTTTTACAGTTCACTTACACTGTAGTGAAACACTTCCCCCATTGAAGTCAGTTGCCATTCCTTACCAATTCTGGTTTCCTTCCCATAACACATACCACACATCATTTTGCACAAGGCCTCTTGGAAGATCTCTGTAGAACTTCAGTGTTTGGTGGTGGGTTTTTTGGGGGGTTGTGATATGCAAGCTCTAGAGTCCAGGGCAGGCTACATGTCTTCAACTTTCTTGGTGGATTTACCTGATCTAAATGAGTTTAAGTTTTACTGGGAATCCTTACACACCAGCTTTTGATCTGTGCCAGCCCAGCCCCTGAATTGTCTCACTGGCATTTGTCTAGTTGTGGGAGGAAGAAACTTCCATGATAACAAGTTTTGTTCAGTTGCACCGTCTTCTCCCGCCACGGAGATTGGTAGTTCTCTTGCTAGCAAACCAAAAATTTCATACAAATGAAAAAGCTGATGGACTTTGGAAACACACAAACTTCCTTTCTTCCCTCAGGTGGACCCATTTCACACCTTATTTGGAATAGCTGGACTATCTTTATTAGGAGAAGAACAAATTAAGGCTGTCAATCCTGTCTTTTGTATGCCAGAAGATGTCCTTCGAAGAATAAATGTACAGCCTGAGCTTGTGAGCTAAGCCTTCGAGACAAAAGGTTGATGGTGCCCAGTTGCTTTGGTTTTACTAAGTGAAGTCATCTCACCTCTGAAGCAATTAACAGCCTGTTAAACACTTTGAGACATGTCTACATTATGAAAGTAAAGCAGTAGCTTTACTGTGGGCTTTGTTTCTGTGTAAACTGTATCAGAACGAGCTGGTTCTAATCATCTGAGTGTAACATGTTCTTTGGTTGTATATAAGAGATGTAGAAACATTTCTAATCTGTATCTAAATATATGGCTTTTTTTTTTTTAATATTGAAGTCAAACTAAGAATGTGAATGCTTAAGTTTTGTATCTCTGTGATATCAGCCATGCTAGCACCCGTATTTACACGCATGTTTTGATGGTGGATCACACAATGCACTTTAAAAGAACATGAAGAAACACCCAAACAAAACTCTGCATAAGCCATGCACTTAATGCCACTCGTGTATTTAATTCTCCCTGTTCACGGTTGCCATCGCTTTTACGCACTGAGAAAGGAGCTGCTTCTTCTGACAGTAGTTGACACCAGTGAAAACAAAAATGACGGTTCCATTAGGAATATAAATTTATTCATTTATTGATGGAGTCCCTTAGACAAAATTTCTCTTGTATTTGAAATTGGTATGTATACATACTCAAGGTACGTATAGTGGAAGTTGCTAATGCTAAGCACTCTAGAGAAGGTCTCTCTCTAGGACAGTGACTTGTAACTGAAAATGGAGTTGATCCTAAATGTGTTGCTGGGTTGAAATCCCTAATTTGTTGCTTTAAAGACAGTAATTGCCAACTCCTGATGATGGTGTAATTGAGCATAAAACTGTGGAAAATACTTGTTCTCTGAAGGATGAAGTCCTCTTTGTCTTCACAGAAGCTCTAAAATTGCTTCTTAATTTACATGCCACGCAGCCCCTGGATGAGACTGAATGGTATTGCAGTTGAAATACACAGCGAAAGGTAATTGTGAAGGGTAGGAAATATTTTATAATCTCTGTACTTATGCTTAAGCAAGCTGCCAAGTTGTTTTGAACACAGTTTTAAAAGCCAGCCCATGAGTTTTACCCTATTCTGTTAGTAGAGAGAAGCTAGAACTGGACAAAGTAACATCTGGGTAGGGTTTCACTTGTAGAGAATTTCAAAGAGAGAATGTGTGTGTGAGAGCTCAGGTGTTTCTAATGAATTTTTTAAGCCTTCTCTACAGACTTAAGTGACCTAAAATCCCTGCTCTCTCCAGTTGCTGGATGAATCTGTTGGTCAAAGCCTGGAATGGATTTCTTTTTCATGGCTTGGAGAGAAGGCACAGCAGGCTTTGTGTGGAGTGCGGGGAAAGGAGAGCACGGGTCAGGTTCTATCCAACAGTCAGCTCCAAGGAGAAAGCAGATGCACGTTCCTCATCCCAGGTGACCTTCGCAAGCGCCGCTTCATCTCATCTCGGGCAGCGCCGTTCGGTACAGAGGAACTTACCATTTTTTCTACGTTGAGTTGGCAAAACGGAGCATCTCCAGAATTTCTGGTGCAGCACCAGCTGGGGCACTCTGGGAGTTAGTGAACAGGTGCTTCATTCCGCGCCTGACGCTATGAGTTAGTCCACCTGAAGTGAGATCGCTTAATCTTTGTCACAACAGACACACTGTCCAATCTAACAAAAATAGTATTGCCGGATTCACGTGTCCACCTGTGCAGTGATGGCTGTGTGCTTAGCTATAGCAAGCGTGGTTATGACAAAGTAATTTGACAGCAGCTGTTTTTAACCTATTTGCTGTGAAGAGAGAACAAAAGAAAAGGATTAGGGCAAGTATCACTAATGAATTGCGTGCATTTAAAAAACAGATTTTATTGCAATTTAAGTTCAATTTGTGATCCGTTTACTTTTGCTTTACAGTTATCTCAAAATTCCTGGACAGAACAACTACTTTCAGTAGTTTTAAGGATTTTCCTCGGTTTTCTCTGTTTTTTTCCCGCGGTTTGCCCCTTTTCCCCTCCTTGCCCTCCCCCCGCGCGTCTTTTCTGACCGGCTCCGGGTTTCTCCGCCTTTTCTGGGGCTTGTTTTTAACCGCTTTTACCGCGCGGTGGCTTTTAAAGGGATTTCCCGCGGTTTGCCCCTTTTCCTCCCCTTGCCCGGGACCCCCAGCCCGGACCGCGGCTCCCG